TATCATTCTTCATATATCTAGAAGTTTCGAGCATAATATCTTAACATTTAATTCTACTGTCCAAAATTTACCAAATGAAAGAAGTTACAAACAATATTTTACAATCTTTAAACAGTAATTAATGTTTGGCAATATTCTGAGTGAAACCCACCGACTGAACATTCAACAACCAAGCATTCTTCCATTCTATGTCAGTGTAACGCTGGAAACCAAATTTCTGATCCAGAATTTCCGACGAGCGAATTTTTTGTAGACGAGAACCATAGCTAGAATCAAGTTTAAGAATATTACTAAATGGTCGTAATTCATTTAATGAGGAGCAGAATTCATAATCGGAAATACATACGTAGAAATAAATAGTCTCAGATGAAATCCGATTTTTCCCCGCCAAGAAAGTTTCAAGCAAACCAAGAGTCAAAGCCATAGTTTTGTTACTAGATGAAAAGTCCCCACTGTTCTGTTTCCATAAAAAATCGAAGAGTACAAGATGTTCGGCTTGAGCCAATATTCATTAAAATTTACTTAGATGGGGAGTATCTTGAGACTGAAATCTGAAATTTATATTGACAAAATCCGAAAGATTCTCACTTTTCCTGAGCGTTGTTCGTTTGTTGATCCATCCCGAATATATCAGCTTAATGCAACCATATCATTTCAGTTTTTTAATCTGAAAAAAATTCTCATTTTCTTCACTTCCTTTTCAGCAGTCCGTTTCTACATTTAACCTAAATCTGAAACAAACAAATTGATGATAACACTCAAAAACCATTGACACCACCATCATTTACATTTTAATGCAACCTTAATATAATATTTCTTAATCCATTTACTTGTAGTGAGGGAAACTGCGCGATGATCGCATAGTAAGGGAAACTGTGCGACAATGAGCCTTGAAAAATTAAATTTAAAAATTTTGGCGCGTTTTTTTCAAAAGAATTTTGGTGACTAGCGTTAATATCGATAAGAATGATAGGGAAGTCTTTGATGAAGGATGGAGATAGTTAAAACGAACTGAATAACAGGAAGCTAATCAGTGATAACCAGTCATTGTATATCAGTTTTAAGTATTCTGATGGGATGAACAGTTGTCATAACATGCCCACTATGATATTTGCATGCTGGAGCATACTTATTCCGTATTCTGATGTCGTACGTTTGGTCCACGTACGTTCTATCTACGTACCGTTTGTCTTCAGAGCGTGAAGTGTCTTATGTTATAAATATGTCAAATTATAAATTATTCAAGTTTTGTAAAGGCAAAGTTACGGAATTTTTTGTCTCTTTTCTTTTTGGTAAATTTGTAATTGTGCTATTTAATGTATATATACTCTTACACTTTTTGGTGGCAATCGATAAATATTTCAAATAGATGACACTTTGTTTGTTGTTATGCAATAATTGGTGTTCAAATTGGGTTAGGTTAAAGATCTGAAACCTCGACATGAAGGTCTCAGTTGTCGTCCCATCCCTGCATCATCATTCAGCCATTTACATCTTTACTTTATGCATCCGTGTCGAAAATTTCTCATTGAATGTGCGATGGTTTTTTCTGGAACAGCGGATTTTCTCCGGGATGGGTTGATTAATAAATTTGAAGTTTTGCTGAGATGAATACGCATTATACGCACATCCCAGATGGGAAACTATTTTAATACGTTTTGTTTTTCATGTATGTTACTTGCTTAACTCACACTGCTGATGTATCCGCCTGTTCCAAACATCATCAATCATTGTACACTATATTACAAATATTTTCAAATATTATAGATGCTGTAATTCTCGTCATGAGGAATAGATCAGGAAATGAGGACAAGGAAGGGGGAATACCAGAAAGCGTTACCATGTGGAATATATTGGCAGGCGTGTGCATATATTACCCGCTTTCAATTGGACTTACTTTCTTTCAGAAGTGGTTCATTAAGGTTGCAACATATAAATCGTTTTAGTTTTTTTTTAACCGTTTGCATATATATATTCTCTAGAAACTGAAGATTGAGCTGGACTCTAATTAATGTTTAGTGTTAAATTAACTTGAATCTAAAAATCCATATCGCAGAGCTACGAATTTCCACTTCTTGTCGTCACTTGCCATTATGCCATCAAATACTTCTTTGCCATGATTATTCGTTTTATTATGGAGTGTCGGACAAATAGACGCACTCGAATTTCATTCAAAGATCAGCTACAATGGCTGGTACCAATTGGCATATGTGCTTCGCTGGATATTGGTATGTTTTGTCTTATTCAGAAATGTCGATAGAGCATATTGAAACTGATCATCTTTAATAGTTTATTTCCATCTGAGCTGCCACTTTGCTTGCAAGAAAAACATGTCATAGAACACATTCCACCGTAGTGAAATGAGAAGTATGGCTTATATTATTTGCTATATATTTATTAAGTAGTTCAAAATTCAAATATTTTATAGGTATGCAATAAGGTTGCGGTGAACATCAGCAACGAGGTCAGACTTAAACTGAATTCTCTTTAGGTTTATCAAATTGGGGTCTTAAATATGTGACAGTAAGCTTTTTTACAATGGCAAAATCAAGCAGCATTTTGTTTATGGTTACATTTGCTCTACTATTACATTTGGAACGATGGCGACCTATTCTTGTCATATCTGCTGGACTTATTGCGTTTGGCTTATTTCTCTTCACTTGGAGGTCTACTTGTTTTTAGAACTGTTACGAAGAAAAGGATCTAAATTTAAAAAGAAAAAAAACCTAATTTAGTTATTCTTTTTTTAAATTGGTTTATGTAATAATCATTCTTTTGTCCTTTATGGAAGTTATTAGACGAAGTGTTGCGAAATATGATATTCTTTGATCCTTTATTCTTATCCTGAAATTAGTTCAACGCATAAAAGTGGTCTATTCCTTGCTACATTGCACGATGGTAGAAAGAGGGCAGAAGTATTTTATATTTTTAATTGCTTCGTACATGTCTTATTCATTAGTAATATTTTCCTTTCCAGATCAGCTCAATTCGAACTTCGTGGTTTACTGTTGATTGAATTAGCAGCAGCATGTACGGGGTTACGATGGACAGTTTCACAAATTGTTATGCAAGGAGAGGAAAAATTACTCAAGCATCCACTGGATATGGTTGCGTATGTACAACCGTGGATGTTTCTTGCCATTCTTCCTCTTTTCTTAATGTACGAAGGTAATAATGAACAAGATCCATTAATTAACTCCAGGGCTATTAAAAAAAGTAGGGTTATAAAGAGCAAATAATTCCGAGACTTACTTTTATTCGATTAGTTGGAAGAGGAGCTCAGCATTTTCGCTTATCTTTCATTTCATTCTATTGTGTTCTCCATCCTTTTTGAAGGTTTCTTGCATTTATTCCTTTCTGCGATTTGAGCTGTTTCTTCTTTTTTATGTTTTTATTCCAATTTGGCAGTTTCAACCTATATTTATACATTAATAAATGCGTTCAATATATAAAAATGACGAAAAAAAAAAAACTTGTACGCCTCATCAGTTACTTTTTTTCAAACTCTAGTTTTTTGGTTAAAATATATCGTAGATTATGTATACTTTGAAATTTATATAAATTTTATGATTTAGTGCTTCATCCTATCCACTTTTTAATTTGATAGCTCATTTTCTTTAAAGAGACAATAGAGTGATGTAATTTAAGAAACTGTAATTAGCAATCAACTGAAGATGTTACGTTGTTTTGATTTCGTAGTCATCAGAAATCATTTGATTGCATAATATTCTCAGATGTGGTTTATAATCTATGAAAAGAGTATTTTAATTCAGCAACATATTTCATCTATTGCGGTACATAATCCCTCTTTGGATTTAGGACTTTTTTTTCGTATTTTCTAATTATTGACTTCTGCACATTTATTGAGTTTTGAATTTTATGGAGCACTATTGTCTACTGTAATGTATGTAAATTTTTTCTAACCACAATTAGACTGAATTAGGTGTATATCATACGACTATTATTTAATGGGAAGCAATTTGGAATTGACAATTTCAGGTTCGCAACTATCTTTTGATAAAATGACGCATTATCTTAATGATCATGCACCATTTTATGTTTTGTTTTTTATTTCATTCGGTGGTCTCTTGGCTTTTGCAATGGAAATGGCAGGTAACATTTGCGATTCATATACTTTTTAAGTAGTCACTTGATTCGAAAAATAATCAGTAGTTGAAATGTAACGAAACCTTCGATGTATGGTATATTTAAACATCCAGCAAATGGTGCATTTTCTTAGGCATCTACTGAACTGTAATATAGAACACTTCCAACCAGGATTCATATGGCCTCAGAAGGAAGCCGATGGCGTTATATACCAGTAAACTTAACAGTATGGTACTGGAAGTAGTGATGATGTTATTCTTTAGTGATTACTTTTGTAAAGTAATTTATTATTCAGTTTTAGAATATCTTCTTCTTTTATATACATCGGGTATCACCTTAAACATATTCGGGATAATCAAGGTAAGTGCTTGCTAAAATACTATTTTTACAAAATCAGTCTTAATTTTTAAAACGGTCAAGCCTAACTTATTGTTTATTTAACTTTATTCAGATTTATTTCAGGAAGTAGTAACATTATCGTTGGCACATTTTATTAACGGGGATTATTTTTCTGTGGTAAGTATACTTGCAGAAGTCAATTCGCAGATTTTCGATTCATTAGCCAAGTGCATCATACAAAATTATAAATCTTCGGATTAAAGTAATCTGGGCTGAACTTCGAGTATTTGCTCATATTGCAGGTTAATACAGTTGGTTTACTCTTATGCTTCTCTGGTATGCTTTTGCACGCTTTTTCAAAAGGGACATTAATGAAAGCTCGCACAACATTGCGAATGCCGGACAAGAGAAGACTTTTAACGGATGTTGATGCATAACGTCATGTTATCGCATCCCCATCTCTTTATAATAAAGAGATTGTCGAATCGCTGCCTCTATTTTCTTTATTGTAGTTTCTGTACTTTCCTACTGTCATCATTGTTTCGGGTACAAAAAAGGACATCGAAGTGTAATGAAGATAAGGTCTAGCATCGTAAACTTCATTACACCGTGTCGAACGGCATGCTTTAAACCCTATTTCAATCCTTTACTCGACATCGTACCATGATGGTCCATATTGAACTTGCTATCCTTATGGCTAAACTGTCGATTGTGCTGTTATCAGCTGATCGACGGAGCTTCCAGAAATTACTTGAAAGTTTTGAAAGTGTTTAGTTAATGTATATGAGGTGTCGATTAGTTAGATATCACACATGGTGGTTATTCAGCTGCAGTTTTTTGTTTGTTTGTCTTATTTCTACTTTTCCAAACATACTGATACCATTCCTGTCTTACCACATGTGTAAATTCTCCATTTGTAAATCATATTTTGTAATATCTTTAACGGTTGCAACCACTGCTTTACTAGTCACTACCATAACTATGTTAGCAGTCGTTACGCCATTCACTGAAATAATAATATAATAAGCGTATCGCAAAAGTTAAGCACGACTGTGGCAGTGATTAATAAAGAGTAATAATATCAATTAGCACGAAGACAGAATCAGATCGACAGATTATGATAGCGAAGCAAAGTTTGCGATATTGGTCTTAAGTAATTTGTTTAAATGTTTTAAATTTCATTTACTCGTTTAAGTTTACCCTAACCGCATTGTCCTTGCTAGTACTGGAAGGTTACCGCAAATCAGATATTCTGCCCCCCACTTGGTAATAAGTTTGAATACCGCTTGGCAATGCAGAGTAATATTAGAAATATCAGAAAAGAGAAGGTCATGATTAGTTAAGAGATGAAATATGGGAAATGACGGGCTCTCTTGGCAATCGATTCGCACCATTTCAAGGATTTCACTTTGTAATAAGTTTCATCACTTAAAAACAACAAACGTAATGAAGCTTCACACTATGAACAAGAGATAAAAAAAGGAAATAATGAGAAGGTTAAAGTTATGGAGAAATATCTCATTTCACAACATAGGAATGTACAGATCTCTGAGGAAAGAGACCACAGCAGAGTCTGCCAAAACTGAGGACGAGGTATTAACGACTTTTTCTTCAAATACATCAAAATCTAAAAACGGTATCAAGTTAGGCATCGATTAATGATATCCATAACCGAATTAATCAAAGAATCCAATCCTAGCAAGTAGCCATCATCAGGACCGATATATCTTACATCATCCAACAAAGTGGAGCAGGTTGAATGAGCAAAATCAATCATTCGCAGATCAATAGATGTGTCGTCGCGTTTTTTACCATCAAATGCAATCAGCAAGGAACTGGAGAAGAATCGATAGCCATCAGCTTCGGCTAGTCGCTGCAAGATAAGCAATGGTAAGTTAAAGAAGCGGAAAAAGAGGCCATTATGCTTTAACCAAAACTGTGCCACATATGGTACACAGTTGTTCTGCCAAATTATGAACTTGTTAAAAGATGATTTGCACTAATTCCCGCTCATCGGCTTCAAAAACAATGTTAAGATACGTTCCTTTCTTCAGCGCACTTATATTGTATGTTTTGCATTGTGCTTACGTTGTCTTCATACAGTGCAGTCACACACCTTTCTTAGAGTGGTTAGTTTTTTCAGCAGTGCAGTGCTTCGTATCTTTCCAGCATTAATAAAGTATTCAGCTAATGTCTCGCGAAACATTTCACAGGTCATTTGTCTGCCCGCATATTTGTTCACATAGACGTATGTGCCAATTTCTTCCCTAAACATTAAGTTAAACTGAATTCACATTTGTAGATGAACTGCAAATGAGAAAAATTAAACTTTGTTCTTCAGAAACATACATAAAAAAGATGAAAGTGGATTTTGCTCACCAGCGTACAATTATTAAACTTCATTACAATATAATGTGATTGAAATTCGTAGTTAAGGAATGAGAAAATGGCGCGAACTAGGACAGTCGAAGCAAAATCACCTATATAACTGCATTCCAACCAGCCGAATCCCAATGGAAGCGCTTGTGGATTCACGACATTTATTGGTTTGAGATTGTCGTTTCTGATCAGTTGCGTCATCCCCGTACTGTCGTGTACCCATTTTCAAATCCATAACAGATGGACGTGAAAAGCGGGATACCGTATTTTCTAAGAGCAAAAACAATGCGTAACCCTATAAAAGAAAGGTTATACGACAATTCAGAATGAAATAAACAACTATATTCCATCAGGATATATAATTTGAGTTTTTTTTTTTAAATATTAGCAACAATAAATAGAGCACCAACACGATTGAATGGACACTTTTAGCGGGTATCCAACAGGAACTGATGGCAAGGGTATTCTTCTGTTTCTAGAAGAAAGCGTTAAGACCGTTTGCTGGCTGCAATGATAATGTTAAAGCGAAAACACATATATAAAAAGGAGGAGAAAGTGAAGGAGGAGGATTCACCCTTCATTTGCCATAAAATGCTGTACTCGTGAAATATTTCAACCGAATAAGGCTTCCTTTCTCCTTTTTT